CCCATTCCCACTGACCGGAACTGCCGTCACCCGAAAGAACACCAGCTGTGGCAAACCTGGTTTAAGTGATTCTGGCTAATTCAAAAGCTCCGGGGCCCTACCACCTGGCCATACCCGATCAGGGATAGACGCCCCAGGCCGAGCCGCCCCGGGCTGCCGCTGTCCGCCGGCGGGCCGCGACGGTCCCGCCAGCCCAAGTCCACGAGGGAGGCTGGGGCCGCCTCCCGCGGGCGGTCGCGGGGGGGTGGAGGAGGAGGAGGAGGAGGAGGAGGAGGAGCAGGGAGGAGGAGGAGGAGGGGTAGGAGGGGGGCGAGGAGGGGGAGGAGGGGCAGGAGACGTTTGCCGAGGGGCAACATGTACAGGAGGAGCTCGACCACAAGAAAGCTTCCCCAAGAAGCTCAAACCTGAGACCCCAGGACGTCCTTTGATCTGTTTGGTACGGGGAAGTCACGCTTTCCACAGCAAAGCCATCAAGAACCGAGAAACCCAGGGCACCCTGGAGGCAAGCAGGGTGTTTCTTGGCATGGGTTTCCACCGTAGGAGGGGGGAACTGGCATAAGGGGGGATGCATCGACCTCGAATGGGCAACACATCGTCGACAGATCGGCGATAGGCCCCCGATAGCAACTCCGCACCTTCCTGCGCGGGGTGGGGCTATCAGGCACCCCTCGGCGACGAATGGACGATTGGGGGTCGATGCATCCACCCCTATGCCTACCCCTCCCCCCACTATCGTTGCCCTTGATTTGCAGCCTCCGGAGGCCGTCTCCCAGCCCTGGGGCCGCCGAAAAACAGCTCAGGATGAAGAGCCCCTCGGAAGAGGTCCGGATCCCTTCGGGCCCAGTGGGTCTTCGGAGGAGAGGGCAGATCTGGGCGTCTCATTTTTGCTCGCACCGGGCGTTCTCGCGCGGCCTTCGGGCCCCGGGGCCCTCACAGATCGATCAAGCCCGAGAGGTGCCGCATAGAGAGAGGGGCGTCGCAGTCTGTCCCAGCCCTCCCTTGGCTGAGTCCTCGTTCTGCGCGGAGCGCACTGCTGCCTTCCTTAGAACTTGTAGCGTGGGGGAACCAATCAGGTGGACGTTCGGAAACCTGTTTCGGCGGCTTGCTGTGTCGAGCAGGGGTTCGGCAGTCTCAGGGTGGCGGTGGCTGCCAGCAAGCAGCACGGGCGGCGACCGATTAGCTGCCAGATCCCCTGTCCTCCTCCTCCTCCTCCGCCTCCTCCTCCTCCTCCTCATCCTCCTCCCCCTCCTCCTCCTCCTCCTCCTCCTCGTCCTCCTCCTCCTCCTCCTCCTCATCCTCATCCTCCTCCTCCTCCTCCTCTCCCCTCCTCCTCCTCCTTCCTCCTTCTCTTCCTACTCCAACTTCTTCTTCCCTCCTCCTCCTCCTCCTCCTCCTCGACGCATCCAGCTCCTCCTCCTCCTCCTCCTCCTCCTCCTCCTCCTCCTCCTCCTCCTCCTCCTCCTCCTCCTGCACTACCTGGCGGTGTTGCAGCATCCTCCGCCTCAGGAGGATACCCCCACCCCCGCCGCCGACGCCGACGCCGACGCCGACGCCGACGCCGACGCCGACGACGACGACGACGACGACGACGACGACGACGACGACGACGACGACGACGACGACGACGACGACGACACTGAGATCCGACGACGCGAAAAACTCATCAGCGTCGAAAATCAGGACCGCAGCCCAAGGCCCCGCCTTTCTGCGACAGTGCTCGGGTCGGGCTGATCCGCGAGGGCCCCTGGGCCCGAAGACTGGGCGGGAGCGCCCGGAGCGAAGAAATTGCGACACCCGGATTTCGGGGGACAACGCTGGCGACGGCGAAGGCATGCGGGCGGCGGCGGCCACATGAACGACGACGACGACGACGACGACGACGACGACGACGACAACGACGGCGGCGGCGGCGGCGGCGGTGGCGACGACGACGACGACGACGACGACGACGACGGCGGCGGCGGCGGCGGCGGCGGCGGACTGCGGCGGACGGCCGCGGGTGGCGCTGGTGGGCGGCAGGCAGGGCCTCCCTGCCAGTGGCCGACTGGGGGCGCTGGCTCGCCACGTAGACGTGCAGCTGCCCGCGCTGCAGGCTGCGCGCCCTCGCGGGCCCTGGCCGAGGGGTCGGAGCGGCCGGGCGCGCGAGCGCACCGCCCGGCCCCTTGGCGGCGCACACAAGGGGGCAGGGGGAGGGGGGAGGGCTTCGCAGAAGCAGGGGTGCTTCCAAGAAGCCTTCCCCCCTCCCCCCCTTGTGCGTGGCCGAAGATCTGCGAGGATGCGGGCGACGAAAACAACCGGGCCTCAGGAGAGATGGCGTGGCGACCTTGCGCCACAGCTTACGCGGGCCGCCAGCGCGGCACGCCACGCTGGAGACGAGGGTGCTTGCGCGCGAGCTCACGCGGGCGGCTTACGCGCCAAAGTCGGCGCAGCCGATCCCGCTTGCGCGCCGCTCATGTGAGTTTTTCGGTCTGGCTGGTTTTCCTCGACCTCGGCCTCCAGG